CCCCCCACCCTGGACCTCAAGAGCAGTCCAGAGCGAACGGTCGATTCGTACCGCCTCTTACCGACTTACCTGTCCAGAGCAAAACCTTCACCATCCTCTTACGACCGATTTTCCTCGCCCTCATCTGCACCCTCTCTGCCCTCTTTCTTTCTTGTTGTTCCTGTCAGCCTCCCAAGCTCTTCGTCCATTGTCACTTCCGCTTGCACGATAGTCACCCCTCGTCCCTCCCTTGTCCTGTGCCCAATTCCTCCCTCTTGCCCGTCCACCATTTTTGTCGTCGATCGGCCATTAATATTTTTGTATTTTTCTCCATATCCAAGAACCATAAGAGAAAACGTATATGACGCTGGGGAGACCAGCTGGTCGGTCGAGGAGGCTGGATTTTTATCTGAAGTCAAAATCGAAATGTTGACCCACCTGGAGGAGGCTTCTTGCCTCTTGGGAGGATTCGATGTTATCTTGCGTGTTCACCCGCTCCGACAGGCAGTCCGATTAGCCCCTTCTATGGAAAATAGTGAAGCATCCCTTAACCCACTACCGCTTGCAGTTGGTAACGAGTATTTCGCAGGGCAGTGCCAATTATGAACGCTACCCTAATTTCAGTAAAGAATTATGACGCTAGCAAGTCCGCTAGACGATACGAGACGAAACGAGACTCATTGTCAACCTCTCGTTTCCCTCCTACTGCAATCAACGGCGTTTAAGCCACGGGTCGTTTAAGTATTTAGACACTTCCGCTATGTCGTAGCCTGCTGCTTTTTTACCGGATATCATGGCTCGTTTCAAGAAAAAATAAACACCGAAGGCTCCAAGATATATGGTGGTTCCAGTAATCGAAATTCTTTTTATTTTTTTTTTCATTCCATTTTTTTAAAGCTTATATGCCCGTAATACTTCTGCTTAGAGAGGACCTTGCGATACGATGGCCTACTAGTAAAACTGGGGAAAAAAAAGGATCAAGCATAATTTATGAATAGCTCACGTTCAAGAGAGTCCCAAAATATTGACAGACCTAATGAAAAATAAAATTTTTCATAGACCAATCGTGACGGCACGCGGCATCTCCTGTTCAGTCGAAGCGGCCTGGAATCCTCTTGGGTCCCACGGGGCCCTCTCTACTATATGGCCGGGACCATTTTCTTCGGTGGTGGTCCAGTGGATGAAGGACCGTACGCATCAGCCTCACGAAGTCGGACCATTTAACGGACTCGGGCTAGTTAGTAGTTATCCTTGAGGAAATGGATTTTCGAGGAAATCCAAGTGTCCTGCCAAAGTTTGCACTCGACTTCTGACTCCGGACGCGGCTCGGTATAAGAGGGGTGCCCCGTGCGATTGGCACACGGATTTGGAGGCACTGGAGGTAGGTATACCAAGGTCGTTAGCGTAGAGAAAAATTAGCCGTTTGGCGGAGAGTCGTCCGGGAGATGGGTCAATCAGATACGAAAACACTTGTCGGGACCCCGGGCATTGTCTAAAGGTAACAGGTCCACAAAAGATTGTAGACACAGGTATACCGTCCTAATGACTGGCCCGCCGTGGAACGAGGAATTCAAACCCCCACGGTTCATCCGAAACCCCCACGATCCTCGCGCGGCCTGGGGGGCGGGAATGGGGAACCGAAAATGACGGAAGGTAAAGCGTAAAGCCGAGTGGAGAATCGTGTACACTCTGGGCTTTGATCAGGGCCGTTCCTAGAAGGTTGGGTGCCCGGCATACATACATTTTAAAATGTTCCTGGCCAGTTTCACGTACACGTGACACTTTGGTAGAAGCCTACAAAATGTTTAATCAGAAATTTAATAATTGAAGGAATCGAAAGCTTGGGAATAATTACGCAAGACGATTGCACACTTGGTTGGATATCGAAGGCTCTCGAGAGCGCAATAATAAATTTCCAGCCGTTAGTGATATTATGCAGATTGCAACAGTCTTTTGCCACGTGAACTTTATGCACCTATTACTCTACGTAGCTCATTGTACTTACTTGCTCGCGCTGGACCACTGCTCGCTGATAGATTTGCATTCCTTGGTATCATGGTAAAGGTGTGTGTCGCCATGTTTCTTTTATACTTTCATCATCCTTTTCTGATCAGTCTTTCATTCTCGCGCAACCAATGAACCTTTCAATCCGTAATGTACAGTGTGTCTCATTCTCTTGCGTGTTTCAGGAAGTCTACACTCACGGAAGTCTCCTGGTAGTCTTTCAAGAGATCATCTTTCTTTTTCCTGGTACCAAGTAGAAAACGATCCTTCTTGTATCTCGACGCTGAGCTATCTCATCTTCGTAGACTTTCCACAGATGTCACGCCTGGGGCATCGGTTTAAATGTATTTATGTACATATTACGCATGCGTGACGGATGACGTTGGTTTACGAAAGAATAAAAAGGAGGTAAAAAAGTAAAAGAACTGACGTAAAAAAAGAAACCGGTCTCATTCATAACAAATGTTATTTATCATTCATTCACGATGTCCGATTGTCGTGCTAATTCTTTTTGTACCACACTCTTGTGCGTACCGACAAGTTTATACCAAATTCTTGTTACAGCTGCGATACTCCGTTCTTTTAACATTTCAAGAAAGAATAAAACGAAATAAAAATTGTATGCTTTGGGAGAGAGACGGGGACCCATCAGTTCTACACTGTATCGGTATGAGGTCCACGTAGCGCTGGCACTCGGCCAGTACGACTAGTCGGCTCGTGAATCGAAACAACCAATAATTAGGTGAACCCGTCCTGCCACGTTCTTGGTTTCCTTTCGTGGAACTAACAACTATCGTTCCAGAGGATTGTTCCCGTAGCACCTCATTCTATCTTCTCCGTTATTCTCCTGACTTGTAAGGTACGCACAGCCAAACTCGAAGGAGTAATCTACCTTACCGACTTCTCCAACGAGAAACTTAATTCTTCGCCCTCTGACGGAAAATAGTATGAACCTTAGTATAAGTCTTACCGCTTCCTGCTCTCTCGTTGTAGGCAGTTGGCTGGAACGTGGAGTCATGCATTCGAGACGCACGTCATAGCTTCATATTTTTTCACACGCTGGCCATGTCAGGACGCACAGTTGGACATTGAAATACCGTTCAGTTGAAGGATCTGCGCTACACTAGAGATTTCTCACGCATATTAATAAGCTGAATTAGGTAAGTGAAAAAAGTAGTGGCTTAATAGAAATAACCTCTAATCTGTCGTCATATCGTACATTTTTTTTACTATATTTCCTTGTAGCCTACGTATACTATAGTATAGTCTAATAGTATATTTTGTTATACTTTACTATCCTCGACAGTAAATTCAATTTAGATCAGTCTGTTTATATGTATTCTCTGTCAGTTCGAGAAGATTCTGCAAATTTCTTGAAGCCCGTCGAAGATTTCTAGAGCGAACAACTATTTTTATTATTGGAGCACTTTCACTTGAAAGCCAGTTATGGAGAAGTGTCAGGGACTGCTAGAACGTTCAATCTATTTGAAATAGCCACACAGTGCAGTTTCAGGTTGGTTGAATGAGATTCGTGTTACGCGCTGTTATCTGCTTTGAGAATTTTCTCCACGTCATCTTTCTCGGGAGTGTCGTTAACAATGCTACATGTTATTGACTTTGTAAACTGTATCTGTTAATATTTATTCCGTTTTTTTTTTAATACTCTCGAGCACTGCCAATTAACTTGATCGATTTTGACCATTAATAGTTATCGTGTTTGATTTATTGTACACATGTAAACAGACGGATTTATGTCAGAGGATTAAACGCACGTACGAGGAAATTAAGGAATTTCCCGCTGTAATTCCGTCATATGTGTTGCGACATCTATTCAAGGAAGGAGTAAAAACAATTGTATTTTATCAATATTAATGAGACTTTTGAGATTGAATAATTATTTTTTTTTAATTCAATCAATTATCCACTATTTCAAATGAAATTAGATATCGTAATTATTGATGATACGAGACTAATCTGGTGTAAATCTCCCGATAATAGATAAGAATACATTGATTTAAGTTTTACGCGCATAGGATGTTTCTATATTTGTGAATCTCATGTTGGCGCAGCTGAGTAACTACACAAATAACGTCGTTCTGTTTATCGACATCATTCGTACCTCATTTAATACATTTTCATGCACAGAAAAATGCGCTACCTGCTGATATGCGCTTTATTGGCAGTCGTGGTGCAGCAGTCCGTTGCTCCGCCCGTGACAAAGAATGCTAAAAAGGAGAGCGAAGATAAATCATCCGAAAATGAAATTGATGATAAGGAGGATATGGTATGAATATTTTATCTGAATATATGTGTGTGTGTATATATGTATATATGAATGAAAATTATTTAATTTCTATGAGAAGAGGGTATTATATTTTTTCTTTTATATACATAGGCTGAAGTAATGGAATACCATAGATACTTGAAAGAAGTCGTTGAAGCATTGGAAAGTGACCCAGAATTTCGGTCGAAATTGGAAAAGGCTGACAGCGTTGACATTCGTGTAAGTATACGTAATGATGTCTCGATAATCGTTACACCGTCAGACGTTCAATATTAAATGGTTTGCTTGATTGACTAGACGGGGAAAATTGCACACGAATTGGAATACGTGAGTCATCAAGTACGATCAAAGTTGGATGAACTGAAGCGACAGGAATTGGAAAGATTGAGACACCTGGCGATTAAAGAATATGAATTGGAGAATGGTCTTGATTCGGATCATCTAAAGATTGCGGAGCATCTTGATCACTCGAATCCACATACATTCGAAATTGATGATCTGAAGAAATTAATCGCAAAAGTAATGATTTAGTCAGTTAGAGTTTCGTATTGGTTGGAATTTGACAATAACTTTTTTTTTCTCTACAGACTACACAAGATTTATCCGAGGCTGATAAGCGCAGGCGAGAGGAGTTCAAAGAGTATGAAATGCAAAAGAAATTTGAACAGGAGCAGAAGATGAAGGGTAATACTGGTAACTGATGCTGGTGATACTAGAAATAATCAGAATTACATGATTTTTCAATTACGTTATGCAAATGGATGCTGTTTGCATTATTTATATTCATGTTATTTTAGGAATGGATGAGGAACACAGAAAAAAGTATGAAGCTGAATTGCATGATATGGAAAACAAACATAAGAAGCATGAGAAGCTTCATCATCCTGGAAGCAAGCAGCAATTGGAGGAAGTGTGGGAGAAGCAGGACCATATGGCAAGTCAAGATTTTGACCCCAGGACTTTCTTCTATCTTCATGGTAATTATTAATTATTTTTTAACCTTCAATTCGGTACGAATTATTGAGCATTGATTATTTTTAGATCTGGATGGTAATGGCGTCTGGGATCAGGATGAAGTTAAGGCTCTGTTTCTGAAAGAATTGGACAAGCTCTATGCCGAGGGTGCTCCTGAAGATGATCTTCGAGAACGAGCCGAAGAGATGGAAAGAATGCGGGAGCATGTGTTTAATGAAGCTGATTTAAATAAAGATGGCCTCATAAGGTAAGTACATTGAAATTTTTTGGGTTAATGGAGTCTTAGCATCTTTGAATTTTACATACAGCTACCAAGAGTTTCTGGAGCAGACGAAAAAGCCGGACTTTCAGCAAGATCCAGGGTGGCAGAGTTTGGATGAGCAACAAGTTTATTCTCAAACGGAGTACGAAGCTTTTGAGAGACAAAGACAGGAAGAAATCCAGAGGATGATCGCCCAAGGAATAGTAAGTAAAATTCAATAATAGTACTTAGGAATTTTGTGTTTGTTAGGAGAGGCATGCAAGAAATTCTCTCATAGCTGATTGATACCCTAAGTTTCTGCACGTTTAAAGAAAAGTTCCAACGTAAGCACAAAATGTTGCGAATGCTGCGTTGAAAATATTTTTGTTTTGTTGCATCACTTTCTTTTTGCGTTTGCATGCGAATGCTCGGTTGTCGCTTAGATCAGCGCAATCAGTTACTTAGCGACGATCCATCTCCTTTCACTAAGAAATTGTTTCCCTAGTGATTAGAGTAATTAACACTCTCTCTGCACTTTTTGTTGTTGTTATTAGCTACCACCGTATCCGGATAATCACGACCCTGGACACCAGCAACAGGTGAGTTCTAATAAAATAGGGAATGTGCGTTTTGAAGTAGTTGTTTAGATTGTAGGTTAATAGAAAAAAATTGCATATCCAAATCTTTGATCTACATAAAGCGACGGGGAGTTTAATCGGTACGGTATTCAAATATTATAGGGTAGTCGCTTGATTTGTGTTATTTTTGTTTGTGTTCCGGTTTCCTCAAAGACAAAGATCAGTAATAACAATATTAAAAATTAATTCTTTGCAGTTTCCTCCGCAATATGCTCCGGTACCGCACAGTGGTTCCGCACAAGAATTCGTACCGGCTGTGGGTGCCAGAGTTCCTGAACTAGTATCACACGGTCAGCAACAACAACATCCACAACAAGGCCACCCAGTACCTCAACAACATTATCAAGGACAGCCAGCTCACTTGCAAGATCAAGTAGCACAACAGCAACAACAGTTTCAACAGCCTCCTGTACAGCAACAACACTATCAAGGTCAAGTTCCTCAAGGACAACACCAGTTTCAAGGGCAACCTATTCACCAGCAACAACAGCAGCAGCAGCAGCAACACCATCAACAACAACAGCAGCAGCAGCAGCAGCAGCAGCAACACCATCAACAACAACAGCAGCAGCAGCAGCAGCAACACCATCAACAACAACAGCAGCAGCAACAACAACACCATCAACAACAGCAACAACCACTTCGTAAACCAGTCCAAGCCCAACCGCCAGTGAATAACCAACAACTCCACGCACAGGAGCAGAAGCAGCAGCATGTTCAAGAACAAAATGATCAACATCAGCCAATACAACACGCGCAATCAGCACCAGTTCAGCAACAGGCACCAATCAATACTCAGCAACAAGTAAATGATCCACCGAATTCACAAAACGCACAGAAACACGTTCCACACGTTGTTAACGTCTAACAGAAAAAAAAATCGAATTGAGAAAGAGGAGAGAGCAGAAGTCTGGCGATCGTATCAACAGTGATGCGCACGGACTGCGGAAATACGCGCGAGCCCGATTAATATCGTAAAAGAAGTTTATACGAGATTATATATATACAGCGACATGATATCTATTAAAATTTCATTACTTCTTAAGCGGAACGCGTCTTCCTATGTCTTTTCAATGCATTTCAAATCTCGAACAATTTCTTTTCAATGAGAACTCTTACCCTTTTTTCCGTTATATCAGTTGTATCGTGACTTATATGTACGTACATGTATGCAGCTGATTTATTTATATAAACTGTATTGATCGTGATATTGGAAAATATATGGATGAAATCATATGTTACGTACTGTACAATTAATTTTTGTTCAAACCTTCCTAGTGGAATTCATCATTAATTTATAACGAATAACATTTGCCCAATAAAAAAGTAAAAGCAATCAGCATTGTTTTCTGAAAGAATGTTTTCTTCAGTAAGTAGAAAATTCATCAAGTCATAATTACGAATAGTGCATATATTTTTTAAGCACTGTGCCGTGATTTTTCGAATCACGGTCCCAAGGCGGCTCCGGTTCTCGTAAGATTTCGTTATTGTTTAGTTGAGGTCGAGATGCTCGAATCTGCCGTGGGGAGATAGTCTCGACGTACCGAGTTGCCCGGCAGAGGAGATGACCCGACGGAGACGTCTTCATGGACCGGCAGAAGCCCGGGTGAGATACCGGCGCCCCGCTGGAGATGGGCAAAGGGCAGGTAGTTTTGATACGGTTAAGGGCAGGAGAGGAACCTCCTGCCCGAGTTAAGGACGTGGTGCCCAGCTGTCGCCCGATGCCCTGGGGAAGCGGCCGTGGAGGATCTCCAGGAGTTACGTACCGATTCGTTAAGGAACGCTCTCGATTTGGCTTAAAGGGACGACTAGAAGGAGATGGAAGAGTTATCGGTTAAAAGGCTCTCGACCAATCAGGATGATTAGTTCTCGGATTTG